TTGCACGATTACCAACTTCAGGTCGTCAGCACAAATGTAGCAGGGGTTTTCAGAAGTGCCAGATCATTAATAAACATTAGAATAGTAGGGGGCCCAGTACCGACCCTTGGAGACGTCACTATAAGCCCTGCCCACACCAGAGCTCTTATCACCGATTTTAACACAAAAAATACTTCCACGTAAAAATTCTTAAACCCAGTTTAACAGTTTGGAGTGCATCCCAAATCATTTTAATTTCTGTAGTAAAACTTAATGCTCCACTGAGTCAAAAGCTTTATTAAAGTCCAGATAACACACTTCTACCGATATTCTTCTATCGAGACATTGAGTAGTCTCATCCAGAAAGCACAATAATTCAGTAAAGCACGACTTCCTGATGAAACCATGCTGTTTGGCTCTACTTCGGTTGTGCTCGGCCAAGTGCTTACCAATCCGGTTCCTTATGTGTTTTCCAAAAATTTAAGCAAGACTTTCGTCAAGTTTGCAGGCTTATAGTTGAGGGGAGGCGATTTAGACCCTCCTTTGTGGATTGAAACTATGATCGCCTTCCAGTCTTATGGTAGCTTGCCTTTCTGAAGTGACATTGAACAATTCCGTAATTGGATGCTGGAAAATATCCGCTACTGGCTTCACGATGGAGGGATGTACTTTGTCAGGACCACTTATTATTTGATTATGATATCATAATAGTTGTTCAAAGCTAGATCAATCCACACTTGATATTTGGGCTAGCCACTCTAACCCGAAGTGGATGTACTTCCATTGCGTTTCCCTTGTTGATACTACCTCGCGTATTTCGCGAACGACAGTTGGATCAGCATTAGGACTCCTTGGCGGACTTCATGCACAGGCTCGACACTGCGAAAAAATTAATCCAGGAACAGAGTTTACTAATTAATGATTTACGAGCGGGAATTGATAAAGTTTATTCATCCTGTGATCGTTGCATTTGTAATTATGGGAACTGCGGTAGCAGAAAATGGAGCGTCCTTATCTACCATAAAGAGAAACCATTTATACGGGCAGCGAAAGCTCGGCAGGGGTTGGACAGAAATCGGGTACGCCATATCCTTCGTAATGTCGAGATACCGTCGTAGCTTGGTATCATGCGCAGTTGGAGAAACTCGCGTACATTGCACATAAATAGTCTTGCAAAACCTGTCCTTGTTGATTTCAAGAACCCGATCTACCGTGACTTGCTGCTCAGTCGTACCGACTTGTTAGCAAGCCGGATTAGGGGCCGATCTCAAGTGGCATCCGACACGCTACCTTCTATACTCACCGCACCAATAAATGGCGACGACATACGTGACCTGAGTGTGACTGCGGAAAGCTGGGTGATACCAGACAGCTTGAGTTCTGCTCCCATAGTGGAAAATAATATTGGGTAAGGGACCACAAACTTCCCTGACAAAACGTGGGCGAGCAGTAGTATCTGCAGTTGCTAACCCAACTGCAGTTCCACTTACACCCTCAGAAATTGGGTACCTTTCGGAGGCTGATTGTAAGACAGTGTTGATCGCTACTGACATTAGTCCAGCTGCGCCTGAGGCTGGTTTTACTGATAGTTGGTCGATTAATAAAAATAGAGCTGTAAAGGTGCCAATGAAAATAGCGACTGTGCATCCTGTTAACAAAGCGTGAAACTAAGCGGCAACAAAAGGATATGTCTCGTGGGACCCTTCGAAACCTCGTTATCCGTCCTGGAAACATAACTTGTTGGTTTTGGGGATGGTTCAGAAGCTGTACCAAAAAACGGGCTGTCCCCTCGGACGCAGAGTCCTAGAGTAACTATAACGAATCGCTGATCGAAGGGAGGAAGCTACAGAGAGGGGATCTGAGAATATGGTACACTAACTGTTGTAGCGTCTGGAATAAGTGGCAGGAGTTGACGCTGCGTTGCAGATTCGCCGACGTTGTCGATTTGACTGAAACCTGAATGTCGTCCGTTGATCAAGTTAGCGACTTACTGGTGGGTTTCTCCAGTAATAGTGAATCGACCCGGGCAACGCGCTGGTGGAAGGGTGCTTATGCTCCTTCAAAGCAACCACATGCACTAGGAAGCTACATTTACTATGACAACGTCGAATGTTTAGACTGTTTCTTGCTTTTTGAGGGTAGATGGCACCTTGGAAAAGTTCGTCTGTGTGTACCTTGACTCTTCCTCCACGAGAATGGGGGACAAGGGGCTCAGCAACGTGTTAAAGTAGGTGGCGACTGCTGCACCGAATTTTGTTATACTTGGTGACCTAACTCTTCCACATGCAGACTGGGAGCACTCCATCAACTTGACAGGTACTTTGGAGTAGGAGTTGGTTGAATGGATACACAAGGTGCATTCGTCCAACACCTTGTCCTTCCGACTAGAAGTCGAATTGGGACTACCCACTCCACTTTAGATGTTGGGATCGGTAGGCATGATCATGTAACGGAGATGCATGCGGAGGCCTTCATAGGTATAAGTGATCAGTGTGCTTACCTTTTCGTGGGATGTTAAGTAGCTACCATTGACACCTCGACTTGTGAGAAAGTTTGGCCGAATCGATATCAGCCGTTCGCGGAGCAGAACACTCCAGCTTCCTTGGGTCACTGCTTAAGAACAGGCAACGTCAGAACAAAGATGGGGCATGCTTAAGTCTGGTCACTTGCAATTGTTGAACGAGTTCGCCTCCGTGTGCCCCGATAGAAGCAGGAATAAGCTCCGCCGGTGGCGACGTGAAATTTCCCGAATGCTTCGGAGTCGTACTACTTGTTGGAAAATCTTTCAGGAATCTGGAGGCATCAGACAATGACTATACTATAAACGATGTCGGAATAGGAATTAAATTGCAGAGGCGAGCTGAATATCGCCATGAGCTCAGATCAGCTCAGAATGCAAAAAGCAATTCCAAGTTGTATTACGGTTATGTACAGTTAAATGCTTCTTTTAGGGAGGGAATTAGTTATCTGACTAAGGAGGATGGTAGTGAGATTGGGGAAGATGTAGCTAAGGCGGCGGTGTTATTGCGTGTCTTTCAGCACCTGCACCGTGTGGACAGTGGCTGTGCAATCCCCTCGCAGTCACACTTCTCATGTGACATTGAAATGCAAGATATTGTAATAACCGCATCACAGGTCTTGAGGTGCTGGCTGGCTTAAACCTCTATAAATCTGTATGCCCTGACAGTGTTCATCTAGCGATTGTTAAACCGTTCGCTGATATTCTTCAGTATCCTGTGTTTGACCTACTCAACAGTTCTTTTCGGGAAAGTAGGCTACCACATGACTGGGAGTAGGCGACTGTTGTGACAATTACTAAGGGGGGGGGGCTCCAAGTCTGCGCCACTCAATTATACGCCTGTCAATCTGACAAGTATTCTGCTTAAGTGACTGGAGAAGCTCATTAGGTACTGAATTTGTAAGCACTTAGTTGTTACCAATTTTATTGGAGTAGAACATCACGTCTTCCTTAGAAAGAAGTCATGACTTACGAATGTGTTGTGTTTCTTGGGCGAGATAACTCGATATCGGGATTCCAGTGGAAGTCTGCTACTTGGACTTCAGTAAAGCATTTGACTTGCTTAATCATCGCTTTTTACTAGGGAAGCTGACTTCGTTGGAGTTGCATCCCCAGCTGATGACTTGGTTGTCGGATTTCCTCTGTGGCTTTAGTTCAGTGTCAGAATAGGTGAGGCCAGAACTAGCATGGGCACTGCCCATAGCGGAGTCCCCCCAGGGTTCAGTGCTGAGACCATCGTTGTTTCTTATGTTTATAAATGATCTAGCTCCACTCCTCGAGAACCCCTGTTATGTTTTTTTTCGGATGATGTAAATCTTGTCAGTAGGAGAGATAGGGATACGTTGTCCAAAGACCTGGGCACTGTGGCAAAGAGGTCTGGATCATGGGACTTGCCATTGAACGCGAACAAATGTCAGCTGTTATACTCCAGTAACTTTATGATTACGGTGCAAACATCCACTGGGTCCCTGACATTGCAGTGTGTAGATAAGGCGAGGGACTTGGATATCTCAATGGTACATAGCTTCGTGCCTTCGGAGCAGTACCAATATGCTGCTAGCAGAACGCGGCAGGAACATTTTCGCCTCAGGATAGCGTTGCGTACTACTAAATCTGAGGTCTTTCTCCCACTTTACAAAACGGTGTTTCGGCCGTACTTAGAGTTTTGTGTTCAGACGGGTACCTTACTTCCGGAAGGACGTCGCTTGCTTAGAGAAGGTACAAAGACTAGCCACCAGAATGATTGAAGGCGAGCGTGAGAAGTCGTATATTGACCGCCTGGATAGTTTAGAATTGTTCTCATTGGAACGACGCAAACTAAGGGGAGACCTGATAAAAACGTTTAAGATTATGAAGGATCTCAGTGACATTAAGCCTACTGATCTCTTTGAACTAGCTACGTCGGACCACCTGAGGGGACACCATCTGAAGCTCATGATGCATAGGTCCAGACTGAATATCCGGGCGAAATTTTTCACTACCCGCGTAATACGTAGTTGGAATTTACTTCCCAATGCACTACTGGTATGTAATATTATGAAAGCCTTTAAAAGAAGTCTAGATATGAATTGGTTCACTATGTTTTCGGATTTCCACTAAGATTAGTGGATTTCAATTCGTACCAATAGGATATCACGAATAGTTCCATGTAGTTATGGGACGTTTCTCCTCCTCCTCAACATTATCTTTTTTGTCTCTGCAGAAGTGAAACTTGAACGCCGAATTGCCCTAGGTCTTGGCTTGCTTATTGGCACACAAAACGGGACGCTCGTTAGGCGAAGGCCTGTTTCGTCCCTGAACATCTAACCTGACTTAACTTGACCAACCATCTCTCGTGCGTATTTCAGGCCACCACCCAGTCACCTCACCCTCGGTCCTCCAGCAGCAGATGCGACAATTCCGTCCAGCTCTGTACGAGGTGTAACAGGCGCATTCTCTATCCAGCTTCGACTCTTACTAGATGGTTGTCCAACCGCCTAAGAAGTATATCTCTTACCTTTCAGCCCCCTCGGTCTATTAAGACCCACGTACGTCCCGGACACGGAAGCCCTCGGAATCCACGAACGGACGCATACTCTAGTTGTGTATTTCTGAACGATGCCTCCTAAGAGGAACGTGCGAAATAAAACCGATGACTCAGATGTCGACAAAAGTGTGACAAAGGCGAGTGAGGATGATAAAAAATTGGAAAAGCAATCCGCAAAGTTTGTTCCTAAATCCCAGAATAAAGCACTAGTAGCTCATGTTGACAAAGCCGAGGCCGGCCCTTTAAAGTCTCGAAAGAAAGAAAAGACCAAAAAGAAAGAAACGTGTCCTAACGGGTCGGTGATCTCTGAAGAAGCGAAAAGTCAAACGGGACCTTGCCGTGCTGTCCGCCAATTTGAGGATTGCACAAATTTCCTGCGCGATCTTTCCGATACTCATGCTGTTGGATTTGAGGAACCCGAAAAATTAAGTGACTTTGATGAGGAATTCTACGCTAAGAAGCGTAAAGCTGGTAGGAAGAAACCGCAGAAAGTTGAGTTTGGTAACAGGTCTACACAAGCTGCGAAACACGAGACGGGGAGTCAAGGTGATGAGAATCACCCAGATAACATTAGAGGAGACGAAGATGAAGAGTTCATCCTAACTTCCTTTAGCACTGTGCTGCTTGAAGATTTCGACAAACCTCTGCACCATGGTAGCCGTTTCACACAACTCGGTGGCTTTGGGGCAGCTGAATCTGTGGATGACATCTCGCACGAAGAGTTGGAGGCAGATGGTATTTCTGTGCCTAATGATGCTGAACCTGTTGCAAATGTTGGAAATGAATTAATTCCTGATCCGCCTATTGAAACCACCGTAGTGGTACAGGCTGAAACAACCGACCATATTTCCTCTGAAACAGCGGCAACGGAGCAAGTAAAAATATCCAAGAAGGAATTAAAGAAGCTTAAAAAACGCGAGGAATTTGATAGGCTAGTGGAGTCAGCAAAAGAGAAGGTTACGGCCACGAGTGGAATGTTGGATAACTTCGCTCTTTCTCAGGTCAGCTTTCTTTCCTTGTCATGTACAACAATCTGGGATACTTTATTGTCGATTCACTGGTATTTCTTCTTCTGCTGCTTGTTTGTTTTTAGGTACTTGTGTTTTCTTCCTCATGACGTTTTTATTCTGTTGCCTTAGATAGTTATCCTGACTCAGTTGCGAGTGTTAGAGCTCCCTTCATTTGCTCCATTTGGCAGACATCGCTCTAGAAGCAGTTTAATTGTCAGTAACTGGTAGGAGTATGAAGATCTTTTTTTTCGGGGCAGCTACAGTTTACGAAGATCGTCGGGTAAACGGGGTAAGGTTGGAGTGGATAGGCCTGTATCTAAGTGTACCGAGAACGTTGCAACTGCTTTACGTCCATTGCAGTTCTGCTGATTGATATGGCCAATCCTTAAACTTCCATCCATGAGCACGACACGCGCAAAGTTGACCCAACCTTTTGCTTGTTTTCCTCTCGCGTTATCGACCGGCTACTATTCGGTTTCCTTCAAATTGGCTCCAACATTGGCAAATGATATGCGCATCCACGGAACCTCCAGTAGCCGGTCTCAAACACTTCGCTTCGGCCATACCTTGTCACTAAGATATCCGTTAAATGCCGGCGCTAGGAACTCTTGCTCCAAACCTTCCATGGAGTGGAAGACCGGAATGTTACTAATCGAAAACCATTTGTTGCGTCTTTTCCTCTTCTTCTGTTTCTCTTATTGGTTACGAGCACTCGACCGCCTCGGGTTGCCTAACATGTATTGAAAATGTATCCACATCGTACTTCAATCCAAGGAGCGCTTCCAATTGTGGTTCAGTACTTGCATCCTACTTCTGGTCAAGCAACAGATGGCCTTTGCTCTTTGCACTTTCTCGAAATTTCTTTTTACTCTCTCCAAAATATACTGGAGACAGTACCATGCCTTAATGAATCTTATACTGCGTCTCCCATCACGACGGAACTGGGCCCTCACGTGGTACAATGTCTTGTGTAGTTACCTTACCGATTGAATTACTCTGGATGACACTTTTTACTTATCTACAGAGCCACTCACAGCATATTGGTCAGTGGTTGGGGACAAACAGCTCATAATGCGCTTCATCGGTTAGCGAGAGACCCGTTGTTCTCTTCCCGTAACACCTAGCCATGTAGGACAACAAATGCACAGGTTATAAGCTCGTATATGGATTGGCTCAGGGGACGAATACCACGCATTGTCTCTGAAGGATGGGATGGTATCGGCTGGCGCTCATTGGTTTTTTACCGTCCGCCTCAAGCCAGGCAGCCTCTGGTCAGACAGATGCAAACCTGCCAATTCCTTCCTGCGGCTGGCCGTCGTCGCAGGTGCCTAACGTGCCACTGTCAAAAACAGAATAGTTCCGGCTGTTCAAAAGATGTGTGATAGACCTCAGGCATATACCATATAGTCTCTGCAATCACGCTCCCGAGCTGGACTTGCTTCTCGCCGCCTTGTAGTTTAGGCTGTTTAGCCAAACACTCCGGATGGAGTCCATCAAGCGAACCTACCATGTATGCCACTATCTTGTTGCTCAGACTTGGGTCAAAGGTTAGAAGTAGGCCACCTCGAAAATCTCGTCTTTTAATGGTCAACCGTGCAGTATAGTCTGCCCTTGCCGTCGACAATACTCCCACTTCTTTCTCCACTCCCCTCCTAACTTCCTTCTTCCTCTTTTATCGAGCAAGAAACTACCGCTGACTTCGCAGCTGCTGCCATCGATACATGTACTTTGTCTCAACCCACAGGTCTCATATTACATTGTTTCCTTTAATGTTCGTACTCTAGGTCGGATCAGCCAACAGGCAGCACTTTCAATTTTCACTCTCTTAGTATGGATGTGTGCTGTGCCTCCGAAACAGGCGCACAGACTAACAGGGTCGTGATCAATCTTCGACTCTGATTGTGAAGTGGCCAACAATGACCATACTCTTCGCGTCGTTGGCGATACTGAGTCAATGGCTCAACGTAGTAACGGTGTTGGTATTGCCCTCAGCAAACATGCGAAGGCAATCTACTCGCCTGGATACCAATAAACATTTGCATTTGTGCGGTTCGACTTCGAACTTCTATCGGTGTTAGTAACCACCGTCTAAAGACAAGACGCTTTTTCATCTCTTCCGTCTATACTTCAACTTGTAGTAGAAAAATCAAACCAACAACATTTGACTACATAAAAATACTCATAGTCTGTGAAGTAAGTGTTAAGCACCATCTCCGGTAATCCAATAATTGATCACACAGCCCGATAAGGAAGACAGGATTTCAATAAGTACACTAATTCCACGTGTTAGATCTGATAAAAACTAACACAACGAGACTCGCAGCAACCTCCGGGCGTAACTGCGTGCTAGCCTGAAGGGAGATCATAAAGCGTAGTAGTGTCGTCTTGCGTCAGAGATGAGAGTGGCTGCTGCCCTTGGTAACCATTGTAAGTTATTCCGTCTGATACGGGAAACGGGCGGCAGGGGACCTGGTGTTAAGAAACTATACGTGACGAGGGTTGACAGCCTATACACAACTTGTCGAAACGCTATTAGGGTTGGGATGAGCACTTTAAAAGGCAACCTAATCGGTTGGAATTGTCAGATTTCTCGCCAGCCACTGATTGCCCTGCTCCGTGGGCTGTCCCTTTGGATCTGCCGTCTCGCTCAGAAGTCGAGCGTGTGATCAGACTGCTGAACTTGAATAAGGCTGCAGGTCCAGGTAATCTTCCTCCTCTCTCTCTTCAACTTCGGGGGATCTGCTCTTGTGGATGATCTACATGAGTTACTATGAAAACTGTGGGAGCAGGAAACTGTCTCGACATACTGGAGCCACTCCGTTGTAGTCCCAATTTTCAAGGACGGCTCACGATCGGAATGTGTCAACCATAGAGGAATCGGTATGATCTCCATCGCCTTTACATTGATTGCCTCTGTCATCCTTCACAGGCTGACTGGCACTCGTGAAAGCCAGATTCGTGAAGAACATGTCGGGTTTTGTCTTGGTCGAGGCTGCATCGACCACATCTTCACTTTGCGTCAATTGTTGCAGCGCTGTCACATATATTGGCGGCCCACCGTTGTCGTGTTCCTCGCTATCAAATTTGCCTTTGGTTTGGTTGATCGATTTGCCCTTTGCGACTGTCTACTCAAGAAAAGTGTGCCCGAGAAATGCGTAAATATTATCCGAACGTTATACGCGCGTAACTCGTGCAGAGGGAGGGCTAACAGGAAGCTGTCGCCATCCTTCAATAGCTCCAGCGGTGTGAGAAAAGGATGCCCGCTGTCACCTTTCCTTTTCAACTTCGCTATTGACGAAGTCATGGAGATTGCATCTACAGGACATGACAGAAGATGTGGTGCTACTCTTAGGAGGACGACTTCTTGACTTGGAGTATGCTGACTACGTTGCCCTCATCTGTGATAGCTCCCAGATGTGTCAAGCCGCGCTGGACAGATTAGCAGATTAGGACAGATTATCAAAACCAAGGATAGGGCGTTGGGCGTCAGCGACGAAACTTCGTCGGAGACCGTGGTTAAGTGTGAGGATTTTCTGGCCGGACGTACTTATCTTTGCATTTTTATCCGCCCGCAATCTCAGCCCGGTTGGAAATAGGTTGCGTTTCTCTGCGGCACGAGGAATAATGCTAACATCGGTACCGATGTGAACCAAGAAGTACAAATTGGTTGTGGAGTCGAAGACATAAAATCGTCGACTATACGAGTGGCCGGACGCAGCTCTCGCATTACGGGCTGGTGTATAGGTTTCCCTGCTGCGATTTGCAGAATGCCTTTCGGAGGCTTACAACCAGGTCGACAATTTCTAGTATCATATCCAAAACGGTGATGGTACGAACAGAACTGGCGTGCCGAACTTCTGGCGGGACTATGTCTACTTTCAGTGTTGCGTCTAGGACTTTCAACACGATATAGTTTCATACTCGTGATGGCTAGTTCTAGCCTCGATACCCTCTTCGCAAATCGATTCATTGGAGTCACTCTTCATGGCGATATTGACCGTCGATTCGGGAGTGATAAACTCTGTTATTGAAAATGCACGCATAAACCTTATCGACCGTCCTAGCCAACTTTTTGAAAGAGATCATCCGCGAATACGGCAAGAAGAGCTGAACTATCCGCTGTAAGACCTTTCGCCCACGATTGTCGTAGAATAGTTTCGTCAACTTGTGTGAAAGTGAGTAACGTACGCCTGTGCTTGAGGAGTTGTTAAGGCGTGCGGTCATGTAACTCAACCTGAAAGAAGCTGTCGAAGTCCTGCTTCATCGAAAGCCGTGGTACGCTTTAAAACGGCGGCCTTCGGCTTATCGTAAGGCGCATTGGCTAGAGTCGGATCGAACAGACTCACGAGGTCGGTTTCGATGTGTGTGGGAAGCTGGACTATAATAATAATAATAATAATAATAATAATAATAATAATAATAAATGGTATATTTCTCGACGAAACGAAGCACAGTCCAACTTAGTGGCCCGATAAAAGAGACACAATTAGATCGCATAAAACAATTGATTAAGTGTATTTCAGTACGGTTTACAATCGCATTTAGAGTTTCCTGGAGTTCAGTGTATCAGAAGGATTGATAAACAGACAAAAATGACAACTGGGGACATGGCCAAATGTTAAAGTAAAGTAATACGGACATCCGTGGAACCGTCTCCTCGGAACCTGCTTTTATGCAAAGTATTCCCTCGAAAGACACTTCCATGCCCCATTTGGCCGTGTGCCGGTTTGGCGTAATATCATGTATGCCAACATCTCTTTTTCAGGTCTTTTAGGCTTTCTATATTCATAAGTTATGGGTTATCAAGCCATTCATCCCATTCTGTTATTCGGCGCAGTTCGGGCTTGACAGACTTTTTTTGACCTCAATGAGTCAGTGGCATTATGTCTTGCATGTATGTGATTATTGGCCTGATAGTGTCAATCCACCACCTCAGATCAGACCAGTCCTGACCAACAAGTAAATAAGAAAGAATATAAGTATGTGGAATT